TTCTTCCCTTTCTAAATCCATGGCTTTCTTGAAATTTTTTGTTTTTACAACTGCAATTACAAAGAATATAATAAATTTCAAGCCACAAAGTGGACTGCTAGTTAACCTTTTGACTGTCACAACCCCAAATCCTGAGGTGTCTCCTGGTGTCGCAAAATATTTGGAAAAAAAAAAATTATTTTTTTTTCTTATGAAATGATAGAGAATCTTTTCCCGATGGTAATGACACCAAAAGTACCAAATCTGATTGAAAACTTACGGAATTACGCTCATGAAGTTAGTGACCTCGGCGATATTTACGAATCGGCGATTTCGCCCACTTTGAGCCCTATTTTCAGCTAATTCCATTCTTCCAGACGACCAAACTCATCACTATTTCTTTAGAACTCCATTTGTTCTATCGATTGAGTACAAGAAACTGTCCATTTACCTATTTCAACTACCCAATAAAGTGGTCAGAAATTGGCTTTGGCCAATTTCGTGCAAATTAAAAAATATGCCAATTTCAAAATAGGGTCCAAAATGAACAATGCAGACATTCCTGGGTCTAAAATAACATTTTCTTTGTTCATCAATCACATCTCCAGGCCCCTCTGATATTACTCTTGCTTTCTACTTTGAATTTTCATTTAAACAAAAAATAGAAGATTTACTGTTATGCAGACTACTGTAATATTGTAATAATTGTATAAATAACATGAACCCATTCATGACTGCATATTAGCATGGCTAGTTGGACATTTACTGGACAATGACATCATTTGGTTACTTTTGAATATCGGTAAAAATCAAACATTTCCCCTAGTAAAACCAATCAAAATCACCTCTATTTCTATAATATGTTTTCCATTCTATCAAATGTGACTACAGAAACGAGAATATAATCATAAAAACCATACAAAAATACACCACAAAGCCGGCATTTTAATCCAAAAACACGGAGTTTTTTTTTCTCATTATGCACTGCGTGCTGCAGGATTTTTTTTATATGGTGCACACTGACCACATAGACCCATTCTCTCACATGTGGGCCTACCAGCTTTCTCCTGCTTGATTTGAAGCCGCTAGAATTTTTGAGTATATATACGACCAAAACAGTCAAAGGGTTAATCATCATCTGTGCAATTTATGAAAGACTAACTACTTGTAAACATACACCAAGATTACATTAACAAAATTTACAGCACTTTCCTTTTAAGAGTAATTAGTGGCTAAATACATAACTAATTTGAACAGGACAAAGAAAACATTCATAAGTGAGAAAATTGTCTGAAGCTTGTTCTAAAACTAAAGCAGCTAACTGAATCCCAAATTACCATATATGAACATTACAAATACTGTACTAACAAAGGCATTATAAGAATGTAGTAATGCAACAATGTTTTATACAAGCCAAAAAAAGAATCAACACATCAATAAAGGGCAATGATTTGTTAATGTTTATTAGTAATAAGAAATTTGATTTATAAATAAAAAAAATTAATATCTAATTATAGTGTAATTAAAATTAAGAATTGCAAGGAAAGAGCAGTCATAGGCAACGAGTGTGATCTAGAATAACTATTGGATTATCTAGCTTAATTTTTCTGTAGTGTAAGGCAGTAAATTATTACAGGCTTTATTCTCTCATATACGGGTATTTGTGTATTGTTCCAGTCATGGTATTGTGCCTTTTTATTTGTTAAAATACAGTAATTTATCATGGAGAGAGTAAGAGAATGTAAAACTAATGTAAAACAATAGGTGTCTGCAAATATTTGTCATGTATAATGAGAGGGGTCATCATATAACAATTAAAAGCAGTGCAGTAAAAACACAAAAACTAGCCTAAATGAAAAGTAAGAACTGAATTGTTTTCCAGAAATCTATACTTGAAATTTGGGTAATATGCAATGTGCCATATACTATACACAGAGTATATTTTCACTAAACATATTTTGAATAAAAAATTATTTTTGCTGCAAGCTCATGGAAAAAAGAACTAAAAAACCTACAAGTAGCATACACTGAAGATAGAGAACAGAAATAAACAATATTGCAGATAAGAATGTTAGAGGAAGATTAAATATACCTAGGGGCAGAAAAAATAAACTAAGTTATATGTATTAGTTACTATTATATATGAAAAAGTAAATTAAAGCAACTTTGAGAACACTACTAAATGCACTTTTACAAATGCAGAGAAAAAACTGTTAAGTTTACAATAGACATACCAAATTATTTAACAAAAAAATAATACGTATATACCAATGAAAAATGTGTAGCACATACAAAATTTATTCATGCAATGTTTATTTTCAAAATTAACTTTCTACAGAAAATGACTACACTTGCCTTGGTCACCCATGAAACTTTTAAAAGAGGGGACAACCTTTCTCCCATATATGGTACTGTTCATTAGGTACATGCAAAATCCATAAACGTCAACAATAAAGAGCACACTGCACAACAAATGAATAGAAATACGAGAATATGAACAGGCCACTAACACCCACTTGGCTTGGGAATAAAGAACTGTTAGAAAGACCTCTGATATTAGGAAACCAGAAGACAAAGTCCATAATTTAGACAAGACCTATCAAAATAAAATTATCTATCATTGTCCAAACCTTGAAACTGAAAAAGCTCCCAGCATCCACATTTTTCAAATATTTTTTTTTCTTCTGTAATGGTAGAGAATCTTTCTGTAGGCAGACACACGAAAAAATACAAAATTTTATGGAAACCTTGGGGAATTACCCAAGCACAGTTTGTGGTCTGGGCACAATTTAGGCATCAGTGATTTTGCTGAATTTTAGACCTACTTTAGGCCAATTCCACTGCTCAATTCTATCAAATTCTTAGCTATTTTGGTAGTATATCGTCCCTTCTATTGACTGAGCACAAGAAACCACCCATTAAACTATCAAAATTTCCCTATAAAGTGTGCAGAAGTCTGTAATTTGGTCAATTTTATGCAAAAATTTAAAAAAATCCAAAATAAACACTGCAGACATTCCAAATACAGTGGACCCTCGACTAACGATCAGCTCCCAACTCGACCAGTTATGTAAGTGTATTTTTGTAAGTGCTTTTGTACGTGAATTTTTGGGGGTCTGAAACGGACTAATCTATTTCACAATATTCCTTATGGGAACAAATTCGGTCAGTAATTGCACCCAAACAGACGTCTGAAATGAAATATCATTAGCCGAGAGTCCACTGTACAAGCATTTCCGCATTTCCTCTGTTCATTAATTATATCCCCAGGACTCCTATATTACACTTCCATTTTGAATTCATCTTTACACAGAAAAATCAAAGATTTACCCTATTTCATGGTTTACTTACGTACGTACATGTGTGTGTGTGCGCGCGCGCTTTATTTTTATTTTTTTTTTTAACAAGTCGGCCGTCTCCCACCTACACAGGGTGACCCAAAAAGAAAATACTTTCATCATTTTTCAACACTTTCACCTCACTCACACAAACACTGCTTTTGCAGAGGTGCCCAGAATACAAATTAGAAGCATATACATATAAAGATACACAACATATCCCTCCAAACTGGAAGAAAAAAAAAAATTGTATGTATGTATGTATGTATGTATGTATGTATGTATGTATGTATGTATGTATGTATGTATGTATGTATGTATGTATGTTAGTGCCGAATAGGCAGAACTTGCGTTCTTGGCTTAAATAGCAACGCTCATCTTGCCATACAAGCCAAGTGAAAATTTGTGTATGCAATAATTTCGCCAAAATCATTCAGAACCTAACGAAAAAAATATATTTCACTGTGTTTGTTTAGTATTAAATTATTGTAAACAAATTTAAAATATAATAAGGTTAGGTAAGTTTTCTAAGTTCCTTTTGGTGCAAAATTATAAATTTTTACATTAACATTAATGAAAAAAATATATCTTTAAACGTATAAGAGAAAATTTTAGAAAGGACTTAATTTTAAACGAGTTCTTGCTAATTGACCAGTTTTACATATTCGGCACGACATTATTTATTTATTTAATTTATTTAATTTAATTTATTTATTTTGGACCCCCGCTTTACGATCAGCTCCCAATGCGACCAATTATATACGTGTATTTATGCAAGTGCGTTTGTATGTGTATGTTTGGGGGTCTGGAATGGACTAATCTAATTCACAATATTCCTTATGGGAACAAATTCGTTCAGTAATGGCACCTGAACATACTTCTGGAATGAAATAATATCGTAAACCGGGGGTCCACTGTATATATATATATACACACACACACACACACACACACACACACACACACACACATGTACTGTACTTTATTTATACATGAATCTAATTATTAAACACTCAAAATAATACATAATAAATTTACACAAATCAAAATTAAGAATTACTTTTTTATATTAACACTTTTATATAAAAAATTAGTCTTGTGGCCCTTTATGCATAGCAGCACTGGAAAAATTGCTTCTTTTACCCTATTTTAATCTGCCACTGCACAACTTCAGCTATATTCTTTCCACCTTCACACTGCAATGAATTATTTTTAAAAATATTTCCTTCCTTCTTTGTTTTCCTATATCACTGTTTCTAGTTTCCAACTTATGTTTCTTTATTCCCTAAACCTGAAGAAATTTTCAATAACCTTTCAGTCCGTCCTGAACCACTATCAAGTGAATTCTTTCAGCCAGTGTTATTAGCTTCATTCTTCCCACATACATTTCCTGCATCACTTTTCCTCAAAGCAAGCATGAAACAATTTATGCAAGAGTTGAACCGAATATTTGTTTTGTTACCCTTAAGAATCTCAACTTAAAAGCCACAAGGTCAATACCTCAATCATACAACAGAAAATCCAAGCAAAGAATCTTGGACAATTTACTAAAGATATACAAGAAGTATTGCTTAAACTGAAAAGGAAAAATTCCTACATGTACAAAAACTTAATGCACACTCACAAAGAATTGGTTATAATATACATCTACCCATTTGAAATTTTGAAAAACAGAGCTCTTACTTCTGTCCTGCTGTTCCTTAAACTTGTCAGGATCAAGATTAAGCTTGTCTATGTGATCCTGGAGAGTGGATGCCCACGTATGAAGCTGGTCCATGATGGCCCAAGGCACTGTCATTGAGACAGTCAGCAGGACTAACGTATGTTCTAGATTGTCTGCATTAACAGCAAATTCTAAGAGCTCTGCATGTTTAGGGTCTCCATCAAGCACCCACACACTGAGCCTTGTGTGGTCTGTAGAATTTAATTTGACAGTTTTAGATTTAAATTTCAGTGGCACTCTTTAATCAATATTATTAGAGCTGCACATACACAGTAGTAGCACCATCTTCAAATTGCATTTCACATGAACAAAGTATAAATGTATTATATACTAAACTTACCATCTCTGTATTCATCCCTTACATCTATATATGCATACTCTAGACCAGAGCCTTTTTTTGGATCTTCATTACCCTGTAGTTTTGCAATTAGAGTTGTTTTACCAGATTCGTTTTCACCTGAAAAGCCAACAAAATTGCATCAAAAACTAAAACTACTGTATCTGATAGCTAATACAGTTGACTGTTGATTAAGATGGTATGTAGTTACATTCTTGGAAATGGCATCTAATAAAAATCAGCTATAACAAAATGAAGAACATACCGAAAAATACTTATGTTCATCAGGCCCTCTAAAAAATGGCAAACTTTCTAGGTATCAAAATTATAAAAGAAAAATTATTATGTAATTGTAATTGACTGTCATGATGCATTATGGCTAATACATTGCTTAAGGCTACAAATGTTACATAAATAATATTTCTTATCTTAAATTGTGACTGCTTGTGAATGTCAATGATTTTGCAAGTGGAGACACAGTGGCCCTACTGGGCTAAGGTGGAAGATTATGGATCATTAGATGAAGTCGACAGTTGAGGCTCTGGTTGTACTGTAGTAAGAAATTCTGTAAATGTCTCTTTGGTCACTTTACCCTGCAGTACTTTATACAGCTGATGGAAAAAGCCTTATCAGCTGCTCTAGACCCTGCTCAGAGCAGTGTTTCTAGATTTGTCAGGGTCCTTTTCAGAGCGAGTCTGCAACTTTACCAATAATATGGAATTGCTCATATAACTGTTGCAATGTTAACTGTTTTCTTCAGGTTCTTTCTTATCTTCCTCTTGTTATTTTCCTCCCTTGTATCTGGGCATTCAGCTCTGCCAACATTTTCCGTGAACTTCAGTCTTTGTAATTTTCTTTTAAAAACTCATTAACATCTTCCTGTACATCTTCAAAGCCCTCACCTGGTAATCTCCTTGCCAGGCGAACAATTTCCTGCACCTGGCTCTAATGAGAAGGAAAACCTGTGAATATTCACCACACTAGGCTGTAAGTTTCCCCAGCCTGCAGTGAACACAACTTTGGAAACTTTGTTCCATGCACTTATAATAAGCCCACAATCCAGTGGTTGTATTAAAGATGTTATATTTGGTAATAAAAACGCAACTTTTAAATGTGGATGCACATGCAACAAAGCCTCTGGATGAGTAAAGGAATTATCAAAAGTTAAGAGAACCTTCAATGTAATGTTCTTGCAATGCAGGTAAAATGACTTCAGGAACAAAGTGACACTAAACCAGTTAATAAGTAATTCCTGTCATGCATTCTGACTGGTTTGACCTCCAAAGAATTGGTTTTACCTGGAGAGAGTTTACCTGGAGAGAGTTCTGGGGGTCAAAGCCCCCGCGGCCCGGTCTGTGACCAGGCCTCCTTAGGTCAGTGTCCCAGGATGCGACCCACACCAGTCGACTAACACCCAGGTACCCATTTTACTGATGGGGAACATAGACAACAGGTGGAAAGAAACACGTCCAATGTTTCTACTCTGGCTGGGAATCGAACCCAGGCCCTCACCGTGTGAAGCGAGAGCGTTAACCACCAGGCCACCAGGTGGTTTCATTTACATGGAGTCTTTGAGCGGTAAATAAAGATGGGTTTACACTTAAAAATTGCCTGATGCATTACTGCAAAGAAGGAAAATGAAGCGAACCTCTTCTGCCTTGAATCCCGGTGCACTTTTCTCTTGCTGACTGATGTAAGTTCTTGATAGCATCCTCTTCCAATTAAGCAAGCATTCAACACTTACAGCGGCTTGCAACTACCATCGGAAAAAAATTCCTTAAATTCAGCAGGAAAATTCCATGAAACTGTGCAGTCAGCTGAAGCACTTTCTCCAGAAAACTTATTATGCAGCCATTACATAACTTGAACTTGTGGAACCAGCCTGTGCTAAAACACACTTTTGTTCAAACTTTCTTTCCTCATCACACACACTGTTTTATAGTATTCTAAGGCTTTTTCCCTTAAAATGAAATTAAGTGGTGCACCTTTCTTGTTTTTTTGCTCAATCTATTCATTCAATAATTTTTCTGTCTTATTCAGCTGTTGTGACTGTCATTCTTTTCAGAAGGTCACAACCTGGGTTACTCATTGCACAAGCTCATTGTCTGCCTCATTCCTTTTAACTGAAACTAATGATTCACTAACACCATAGGCTCCTGCCATCTCCACCACACATGTACCTCTTTTAGGCTTATATAATCTCTCAATTTTCTTCATAACACCAAGGCACTTCTTGCCACTTCCAGCATCACTTACATTCCTATGGGTGCCATAGTTACGATGCAGACACAAGATATGAAGTTGAAAAGATCCAAGATCAATAAAAACTTCACAAAGCTAAGTATGGCATGGCACACGCATGCACGGAGCACTGACGCACGAAAGGTTGTGTACATTAAAGTGTGACTAGGCCTCCCTCGTCAAGATGATGGTCTGTCCCACTGGCTGGCTGCCGACAAGATGAAGAAGAAAGATGATCAGTCCGATCCTGTGGCACTCCATATTCCCCTCACCCCACCCCTAAACTTGCACCATCATAAACTTCATGGAGTTTTGATCAAAAAATGCCACAATTTTGCAACTGTCATATATTGAAAATGTTCTGGATGATCACGTCTTAGTCGACAGTCTACCGTATGTATTAAAAATAAGAAAAAAATAGATGTTCTTCTATATACGTATACTGCATAATGAAACACTGAAAGCCTTACAGTAAATTTTAATTCAATTTAGGGAGTGAAGCCCATATATTACCGAGTGATAATGTTTTGAATGAAAAACTGCTTTCTGTGTAGGAATCAATGAACCACTGGGAATGCAACCTAAAACTTTTAGCTGAGTTGACTCCCTTCTGTCACTTATGCCTGTGCATAATCCTCGAGAGCTGGACACCCCCAGCACTGACAACCTATTCAACCAACATTAATCATTGTTTCTAGTATGGAATCTGGCGAAGTGCTAGGAATTCTACCAGTACCTTATTAATATGGAACTCATACACAAATAACCCGCCTGGTGGCTAAAGCTCCCGCTTTACACACGGAGGGCCCGGGTTCGATTCCCGGCGGGTGGAAACATTTCGACACGTTTCCTTACACCTGTTGTCCTGTTCACCTAGCAGCAAATAGGTACCTGGGTGTTAGTCGACTGGTGTGGGTCGCATCCTGGGGGACAAGATTAAGGACCCCAATGGAAATAAGTTAGACAGTCCTCGATGACGCACTGACTTTCTTGGGTTATCCTGGGTGGCTAACCCTCCGGGGTTAAAAATCCAACCGAAATCTTATCTTATCTTACGACGACGTTTCGGTCCGACTTGGACCATTTACAAAGTCACACTAACCAGAGGTGGGGCAGGACAGCTATATATAGGCAGGAAGAGGTGGTGGTAGTAATAGTAGTAGTACAAGAATGGTATATAATACCGACAAGATGAAATTAAGACACATGCGCAACACCCGGGCATCCCTATCGTAGACGTTTCGCCATCCAGCCAGCCAATGGATGGCGAAACGTCCACAACAAAGACAACCAGACAACTACTTTTTGCCTCGGGTAACTAGCCAAGAGAAAACATCTTGAAATTATCATATAGCTGTGTGACTTAACTGGGAAAACTTACTTCATTGTCTGAATTTAGAAGAGGTAGAGTGCTATACAAAATTTAGTAACATGTATTGCTTTAAAAAAAAAAAAAACTAATTTATGATCATAATCATAACCATAACCATAATTTTTAAAGGGATGGACCAGTAAGCTAGCAGAAGGCCTCAGATGACCAAAAGCTCCAGCTATGGTCATCACATGACTAAGACCCACGTCAGGAAACACTCATCCTGTTTCCTGGCAAAACTTGCCTAACCTAACAGCTCAATAAACTTTGAAGAGAGTTGTAAGAATTTAACCAAACTTATGAAATTTACTAATGTCAGACTTAGTCTGATCACTTCAGGATACTTTAGTCATATATACAACCAGGCCACTTAAAACAAAGACTAATGTTTGAACTTCAATTTGATCTACAGTATTTCAGGATATTGAAACTACAGTATTCCAAGGTTCCTATTGCAAATATATGTACATATACATATATTGAATTGTTTAAATACACTTTTATGAATAACCTGTAGTTTCTACTGCTTTATTAACCCCTTGACTGTCGCAACCCCAAATCCTGAGGTGTCTCCTGGTGTCGCAGAATCCCCCCCCCCCCCCCCCCGAAAAATTTATTTTTTCTTGTGAAATGATAGAGAATCTTTTTCCCGATGCAATGATACCAAAAGAACGAATTTTGAGGAAAACGACGGAAATTTAAACGCTCTCGCGAAGTTTAGCGACCTTGGCATATGTTGTTTGGGGCAATGCGCCCACTTTGAGCCCTATTTTTGGCAAATTTCCCATTGTTCCGTCGCCCAAACTCATAGCAATTTCTTTAGAACTCCTTTTTTCTATCGATTGAGGGAAAGAAACCCCTTTACCGTTTTCCAACTCCCAAATAATGTGGTCAAAATTTGAAAAGGGGGCCAATTTCATAAAATTAAAAAAATATGCCATTTCAAAATAGGGTCCAAATGAAAAATGCGACATTCCTGGCTCTAAAATAACATTTCTTTGTCATCAGTCACATCCGGCCCCCTCTATATTACCTTGCTTCTATTTTTGAACATTTATTCAAACAAAAATAAAGTTTTACTGTTATCAGACTCGCATATTGAAATAATTGTATAAATAAATGTAAACCCATTCATGACTGCATATCAAAATGGCTGCTTGGACATTTATTGGAAAATGAATCTTTGTTTACTTTTGAACATTGGCAAAAATTAAACTTTTCCCCTTTTAATTTGAGCCCATTTAAGGGTTTCTTTTCATAGTAAAACCATCAAATTACCTCTATTTCATAAAGTTTTCCATTCTATCAAAGCGACCAAAAAAAGAGAATACAACCATAAATACATACAAAATAACCAAAAATTGGGCTTTTAATTAAAAAAAAAAAAGGGTGAGTATTTTTTCCATTTGGCACTGCGGACAGATTTTTTTATAGGTGCACACTGACCAAACCCGACCCCTTCTCTCATATGTGGGGCCCATCAGCTTTCTCCTCTTGATTTTAAGCCACTAAATTTACAAGTTATATACTCAAAC